GAAGCTAATATTTTTCCTAAGTAAAAAAAAAAAAAGAGAGAGAGAGAGAAGAAAAAGAAAAGAAAAATTTGCAGACACCTAGAAACTCTCTTCGTGGGAATTAGCTGTAGAACAAAGCACCTGTGTGTTATTGACTGGGTTACTTTCTCTCTGTGAATAGCATTCACTATACCTGCTGAATTCTTAATCAATGTTTAGGGGGCCTTTATTTACAAAGCCCTCTCTAATTTTCTTCTAGGCAGGTAAAGTGGGTGGAGTAGAGAAAAATCCCATCAAAGGCCATTATAGGAGCTGGAGGGATGGCTCAGTGGTTAAGAACACTAGCTGACCTCCCAGAAGGACACAGGTTCAGTTCCCAGCACTGGTATTCATAGCAGCTCACCACCAGCAGTGACCACATAGCTCTAGGGGCTTCTAAAGCTTTCCTGGTCTCCGTTGGCACTACATGCGCATGGTACACAAACATGTACGCAGGCCAAACATTCCCACATATATAATAAAATGAAATCCTTTTTTTCTTTAGGCCATAATAAATAAAATTAGTGACATCAATGATGTAAATTGTGGATTGTCTGTGTTCTCCGGCCAGCTGCCTCCCCTCATTTCAGATATTTGGTTAGGGTAGGCCTGGTCATGTGGGCATTCTCAGGACCTCCCTCCTCCTCGTTACTAGAGAATCCTGACAGTCTCTTTATGTCTACACTTAGCCCATTGCCTCATTAATTACCAGCTTGCCTCCCTCCCCCTTGAGAAAGCTCTGTGATGGCAGCCGCTCTCACTCTCCCTAACCCACCTACCCCCTAACATGCTCAGCTATACAAGTGCTGCTCAGGAACTCAACGAAGCTGTACTGATGGCCTTCGTTCACATCTCGAGGTTCCGCTGGCTACCCTCTAGCTGTAGTTGCGGTCTCCTTCTACAATGAGAAAAGGTTCGAAGGATGAAGGAGAGCCTCCTATTGCTACTTACCTCCCAAAACAGTTGTGGCACAGATAAGAATCATGAAGTGCTTCTGGACCACAAAATAGTCAGCTGGCCTCCCACACAGTAAATCGGGCTTGTCATTTTTTGCTATCCAGAAAGAAAAATTGCTGTGGGCTGGCATTGCTTTTCCAGGACTAAGTGGCACGATAGCAGACTATCCTGTTGTAAGAAGGAAAAAAAAAGCGCATGAGGCCTGCTGGGATCCGGTTCATCCACCCTCCACCTGTCCTAAGGTGGCTGGCACACTCAGCTCTGAGCATGTTAATGTCGCTCGTTCCCCTTCATATTTACAGGGAACTCTCAGCAGTGTTGGCGTTTTATCCTCATAGTTCTACCTACGCGTGGATGGCGAGTGCGCTGCTACTGTGGTAATCTGACCCCGTGCTTGCTTGGAGCAGTGGGTCTCTCAGAGGCAGAGACTGAGTGTCTGACTCTAAGGTTGTGAGGAGGATCACCATAAACACTTGAAGGAGCGAGATCTTTTAAGAGAAAAGGAGCGAAGATAAACATCTTCCTCGTTCTCCCGGAGAACAGATCACTCTGGAATTCTGCTTTACTTCTCTAACTTCAAATGTTATTTATTTTCCTCTCTCAGCAAATTAAAAAACAGGGTAAGTTGCTTCATGTCAGTTAAGGTTGGGAGTGAGGACGGGGGGGGGGGGAGGACAATATTTTTAATAACCAGAAAAGATTGAGGTTTTATTGTGTGATGCCTTTGATTAAATTAGGGAAAAGTACGGCTTCCTCTGGGCAATGAGGCCTGACAACAGGCCTGTGGCTTGTCGCATCAACGGCAAGCTAGATTTCACGCCTGATGCCCCCGCTGACTCGGTGTCCTGTGTAAGACATAGCCCGCATAAACGTTTGGGATGGTCCTGAGAAGGACTTGGGCTGTTTTGCTTTTCTTTAGCTAACCCTAACCTAAGACCCTCCTAAAGGTCCTGAGTAGCCTCAGGAATAGGCTTTATTTTCTGCCCCCTGTTTTATACTTGTTTGCTGCCAGTCACAAAGACTCTAATACAAAGAAGGAAGTGCGGTGGGGGAGGCATTACATCTTCAAGTTATTCCCCACCCCTCAAGCAGCCTTTCAGGTCTGTCCTCCAAGCCCTCATCCCCATGTGAATGACCTTAAAACCAAGTTCTTCACCAGAAGTGTGTTCCTCCAAGCTTAAGCTGGCTCAAAGTGGAAATCAAATGCAGCCTCTCAAACTCCCAAAGAACAGGGCTCAGTTGGGCTGAGTTGTGCTGTTTGCCAGGGTCCGTACCACCAACTGATTCCAAAGCAAAAGCGGTTTCCTTCCTGGCTTCCTATTGGTTTCTTGCCAACCTGCTTTCATTCTGATTGGCTACACTCATTATTCCCACCTCCAATCTAAGAAGAGTTATTGAGTTGCAGAGAAGCATGGATTTCTTAATGGCCATACTGTTGTCTGCAACTACAACTGTTTTTAACTGATTTTTCCTTTGCCTGCTGTAACACATAAAAGGGTTTTTATGTGTTTTTAAAACATACATGACGTTTTTCTGATGCCACTTCCGTCCAGTTTAGCCCTGACACTCTTTAACACTGCGCTGCCTTCTCTCCGACTCATTTTCTTTAAATTAACTTTTAGTTGGCATACAAAATAATGGGTTTCACTATCACATGTACGTTATCATACTTTGCTCACATTTCTACCTCCATCATCCCACATCCCTCTCCCCTTCTGCTTTCACGTCAAATCTATCTTAGCGACCCATTACCCTTTCGGTCCCTTCAGACCATTGTCCCTTCTTCTTCCCTTTCAATATTTAAGGTTCACATTTTCCCCCATTAAAGTCATCGTCGAATTTTAGCTTTTTGCTTGAGGGTGATACTCATCAATAAATTCTTGGTGTCTAACATGTCTTTTGCGGGGGGGGGGGAGGGCTCCAGCCTAATTACTAGAAACAAATATAATTAAATAGTTCTTCAGTGAACGCTAATCATCAATCTGAAGTTTACTGCCATGATGGATTGTGTTGTGTGTGTGTGAAATTCTGTTCCTCCCGTGCCTTACTAACCAAGGTTGCTCTTGGACACAAATGCTCTTTCATGGAGCACCAAGGGGAACATTGCACCTGACAGAATCTATTATCTTTTGCATCACTTACGTGCTGAAGAAACTTCAAAGGACGGCTCAATTTCTAGAGACCAAATTTCAGCCAACAGTTTTATATATGCCCCTGAATAATAACTAATACATCCGCGTCACCCTAAAATAGTCTCTGCAACTTAATGTGTATAGATGTGAAGTTTTTTTTAAATCACAGGACCAAATTTGCTGGAGAACTTTCGCTCTGCTGTCTTCATTTATCTCACCCCATGCTCAGCTCGATATGCTTTCTCTCATTTGAACTTTCACTTTAGATTGCTGTCACCTTGACTCCTCAGCTGCACTCCCTTAAATCATTTAAACAATGCCTTTCCCTGCCACGGTTAGCTCCTGTCCAACTGTTGTCCCCTCAAGCTCTCATGGTTCCATCAAACCCTGTGAGTACAACTCTCATATTTTTAAGTTTCACAATTGAGGTTCTCCAAGTCCACATACCTTTGGAAATCTGGACAAAATTTATCTTCACTGGACAAAATTTGTCCCAGCTGAAAGGTGGAGACAGCACCTAACTAAACTGCAGAGATGGCAAGCTATTCCTCATTACAACCTCTCTTGTAAAAGCCATAATAAGTTTACATTTTGCTGTTTTGAGCAAAACCAGCTCAGAGTCTCTGGTAGCCTTGGGGAAGTGAAGGCTGAAGTGTGCTCTGCCCAGATCCTAGCTTCTGATGGTAGACTACACAGTGTGGCTGAGACAGGCATGTGAGACAGATGATCTCCCAATACGCTGATTTGGTCAAGAGCGAACATTAGACCTAGGAAAGGTGGGTCAGACAGTTCCTTAAGCTGACATGGGAGTCTTAGAAAAGAGAGATGTGGCAGTTCTGTTTCCATCAGGGTATACCATGATGCCCATCCTAGAACACCCAGAAAACATCTTCCCAGCACATGAAGACAGCCCGGATATCTGAGAATCCCAAGGTACCATCTTCAGTGTTTCTGAATTCTTAACCGGTACCCCTGTAACTCTGCCCTGGATTTTATCTTTCCCCAGAAGTCATTCCTTGCATTAATGACTTCTGTTATCTAGAAAGGCTGGGAAGTGAAGAGCCACTTCAATTTCAAACCCAGTAGCTACTGGCACATTCACATTTCTTTTCAGTTTTACTTGAAAGTTGTGTTCCCTCTGCTTGGATGTAACCCATGGTAGCTCAGTATCCAAGTGGGTGTCCTAGTAAGGGGAACAGGGACTATTTCTGACATGAACTCAATGGCAGGCTCTTTGACCTTCCCACCCCACAAGGGAGGACTAGCCCTGCTAGGCAATAGGAGGAATTTGCAGCCAGTCCTGAAGATACCTGACAACACAGGGTCAGATGAAAAGGGAGGAGGTTCTTCCCTATCAGTGGACTTGGAAAGAGGAAGGGAGGAGATGAGGGAGGGGGATATAGCTGGGATACAAAGTTAATAAAATGTAACTAATAATAAAAAATAAATAAATAAAAATGAAAGAGAAAGTTGTGTTCCTTCCTTCAGCGCAATTCCTTTCTTCCTCTCACACTTTAGAAAAGGCTAGGTGGCACTGGGGCAAAGTTGGACATAGTCACCAAATCATTGGGTTTATTACTTAACATCATGGAAAACCTCCAGTGACCTCATAACGAGAGCCTTTTTCTCTAGCTTGAAGGGACATTTTCCTCTTCCGTATAAACTCCCACTAGTGACCTCTTAGAGCATCTGAAGGTTCTCCCTTGACTGTACTTGAGCCTGGACGCTGTCACTCACGTTCCCCACTAGACCTTTGCAGCTTCAACCCACCACCCAGTTTCAGAACCAAAGCCACACATTCTGGGCTCTGTTGTGTCACTTCACACTTCTGAGTTCTGACATGCACATGCTGTATTTTGCTGTGTGGCCAATAAACACAACACTGGGTAGCTTAAAACAAAAACATTTATTTATATCAGAAGTCCAGGATTCTAGTAGGACTCAGCAGAAGAAGTTTACCCCCACTCCATGTAGCATCAAATAGTGGCTTGATTGGAGAACCCATTTCCAAGATGACTCACTCACAGTCTGGGCAGGATGTGATGTCTAGATGGATGGAGTGCAGTCAGAGCTGCAGGCTCCGGCCACGGGTCCTGTCCTTGCTGGCCTCCCCACAGACCAGTGTCTTAAGAGACTGAGGCAGAAGCCACATCACCTCTCAAAACCTAGCCTCAGAAATGACACAGAATCACTTTCAACTATAGTCATGGGCTCCCTGGATTCAAGAGAGATCAGAGACTCATAGTTCTACATTAGAAATGACAGGGCCACACAGTAAGAGGAGTGTGTGAAACGGGAGGTCAGGCTGGCCTGGACAATGTAATCTACTGCAGATTAGAAGAACACTGGGGTAACTGTCAGCCTTTTACAATATGGGGTTTAATGTTAAAGTAAATGTCAGTCTGCCTACATTGTTCTAGAGCAGTAGCTGTCTAAGGTTAGACACTAGGTCAGTTTTGGTGTATGATAAAAGCTATATCATAGTGGCAAAATGAGAGAAGTATGTCTAACATAAAATCCTATAATGAAGCTTAACTTATTCAGTTCACCTTGTCATCAGATAGTTCCTACTTTTTTCTGTGTTAAAATGTCTTTTTTACATGACAGTGATAACAAGCAGCAGTTATTATTTTAATATGCTACAATAATATCATTTTATATCTTTACTTTTTTATATCTTTACATTTTTATGACTAGTGAAACACAAAATCTAAAGAACTACCATCTAGAACTGATCATAACATTAAATCAGCCTTTGACTACCTTTCAAATACTGGGGCGGCATTCCTGAATTGTTAGCATGTGCTTTTAAAAGGGAACTAGTCTATCAAGTTCAGAAAACACCATGCAGCTAATGAAATAACAGTAAACTCACAGCATAAGAGCAGCTAAATCTCCTCTTAATCTCTAAGTCAGTGCAACAATAGGTAATAATATCATCACTTGCAAAACAGAAGTTATAGATATACAGACATTTAAAAAGTGTTCAGATCCCCTCATCAAAGGAATCTCTCAAATAAGATCCAAAAATCTCTCAGAAATCACAAGATCCATGACATTCAGGATGAAAGTTTAAAGAACACAAAGTTGAGAGAGGACAGACACAGAGCCATTATGTTTGCCGTGCATGTGGCTCATCTGTTAGAAGAGTAGGTATTACAGTGGTACACTGACATAAGAAAGGCATAAGATAAGGTTGACATCATTTCTATAATGATAATCAAGCTTCATAAATGAATGAAGAGGTACTGAATTCTATGAATACTAGGGAGTACTAGGCAATGCTAAGTACTGTGAGTAAGGTAGTACTGAGTGAGTCAACTTTTACTTGCTGACTTACTATTTTACAAGCTCTTTAGGTAAGAGGAAAAGGTCTGTCTTTCATAAAGGTCATTATTCACTCATATGGAGACACAAGAGTGAAATTACACAGAACCCAGAATGAGGCTTCTGGCACTATTAACGTCCCAAAGAAGAAAAGGTTAGATCTTTGTAATATTGGAGACAAAGATGGCCATGGGGTGAAGAAGAACAACTGTCCCACCAAGAATCAGAAGTGAATTCTGAGGTTCTGACAACAAGGTTAAAAGGAGAAGCTAGTGGGGAGTTAGAAAAGTAGATCATAAGAAAGTTGGGATGTTGGCCTAAAGGTGCCAAGGCAAGGGACTATACAAATACTGTGTTAGCAACTGTATCAAAGGCTATAAAATGTCAGAGGACAAAGACTGAGAGACAAAGGAAAGAGAGAGAAGTTATTCTAGCAGGTCGTTAAAAATGCTTCTGTCTTACCTAGAAATAGAAGTGAGTTTTCGGACTTCCTTCCCACTTCCAGGAGCACAGACCTGGAAAGCACTGTTATATTCATGACCAAAGCTCAGAAACTGTGACTTAGGATAAAAATAACAACAACAACAAAAAAAAAAAAATGGCATCTTCCCTCTTCCTAATGATCTCAGTGATGTGCACTGAGTATCTTGAAATATACTGTATTAAAAGGGTCAAACATAGATCTTCTTCTAGCAGTGTAAGGGTGTCGAGGAGGTGGGCTAGCATCAGCGGTGCTGAAGGAAGCCAAATGGGAATTGCTCACAGAGTGAAAAGATCTCAAAAGTGAAAAAACTGGGGGAAACATTTAAAACAAGATGACCTCAATACTGTGACCAAGTGGAAGTTGCCTAACAAGTTTTACTGAATGGCTCCCTTGTTCTGTTTCTCCTAAAGAATGAAAAATAGTTTGCACAGCAAGACAGGAGGAAGTGATAAAAACAAGGAATAAATATTCTCTCTCTCTCTTCTTTTATTTTCTACATTTTATTTTCTACAAAAACTTTCCCAGAAAGTCACAAGATAATAGGAAGTTCAGGGTCCTGCTTAACTTGACTAGAAAAAAAGACTTTCGGAAGACCCTTTTGGTAACCATGACCTTTAAAATGTAGGGAATCTAAAGAGAATGGTAGAAAGTGGCACAGCGCCAGTTACAGTATCTATAGTACCAAACCCCTGGAGATGGAAACGAGGCAGATCTGTGAATTTTAATTCAGACACAAAAAGTAACAGCTACAACCAGAGGACCCTGTCCCAAACATTTTCTAGAGTTTGCTTCTTGAGAGGGAGTAAGCGCTTCTCTTTTAGAAACGGCCTAGTGCATCTTTTTAAAATGGAATACCCTACTCAAGTGGAAATTTCTAGCCTCAGTTACACATGAATTTATTAGCTTCTCTGTGTGGTTTTTAAAGCCTCGCTCAGCTCTTCTGAGGGAGCATGGGAACTCAGGAAGAGATGTGCTTGGAGAAGCAGAGGTCCCGCCCCTGATCCAGGTGAGAGTTTTCTGAACAGCCTAACACAAAGCCTGCGTGACTAAATTTGCACCCAAGCATTTTTGCAAAACCCTGTGTCTATTCCTTGAGTTTGGCAGGAACAGGTTGGTCGTATTCAACATTGGAATATAACGAAGGCTTCTTCACCATGTGGTATCTGCAGAAGGTGCAGTCTTGATTTCTCTGCTAACCACAGCTTAGTTTATCGATTTGGCGCTTTTCACTAGACCTGAAAGAAGCAGATTTTTAAATGACATTTAACTAGCTTGAGGTATGAAACACAGTGAAGCCAGCTTTTCAAACAATGGGCATGCAATACATCAGAATACCCTGAACCAGCTGCTAATTAAACCCTAACACTTGGGAATGCAAGTTCCAATAGCCTATGCCTTTTTTCCGTGTATGTAAAGTTGCAAGGACATCTTTCCACATTCCCACTATTCCTAGTTCTTGTTTCGACACTGCCTAGAGGAACTCTGATTAAAGATGCTGAACCTCTGTCATCTTCATTTCTTTGTTGTAATCATTTCAGAGGTTCCATCAAAACATAACATCTGATGCTATTAAGGGCCTAGAGGGGCAGAAATGTAAGGGACCTGAGGAAAGGAGCAATTCCTCTGCAGAGGTGAGGAGGAGGGAGCAAGGGCTGTGGGGTCAGCTCAGAGGTAGTGATGGAATGCTTGGGAAATGGACTGTCTAACCAGTAACTGAAGTCCTAGCTCGCTTCTGGACTGTAGGGCTTGACTTTCACTAGTTTCCTCTCCCTCCAAACCACTTCACCAAGAAAACCAGTTTGTTTGTTTTTTTCTCCCCTGCTTAATCCCTCTTCTCTACTGCCCTGACAGCTTGTTTCTTTGTGTATTTGAAACAGGGTCTTGCTATGCAGCTCAGGTTAGTGTCAAACTTGTGATCCTCCTGCTCCAGCCTTCCAAGTTCTAGGATTACAGGGACACAACACCAAGCACCTTGTGTGTTGCAGGTCGGGGAGGCGTACAGGTGCACCTGTGTGGGCTGTGCGTGTAGCTCCACCTGCCTTTGGGGATTAGAGGACACCCTCACGTGGCCTACTTCAGAACATGCCCACACTTTTTCTTGGGACACAGTCCCTCACCGGTCTGGAGCTTGCTGACTTAGCAAGGCCAGCCTGCCAGTGGGCCCCAGGAATCTGCCTATCTCCACCACCCCAGCAAGGGAACTGCGTGCATGTGGCACCATGCTCATCTTCAGTGGTTTGTAGGGATCAAATTCAGGACCTCATGTTTTTGAGGCAAGCATTTTACCGGCTGAGCTCTCTCCAGACCTAAAAGCTCTGTAATGGTGTCCCATTGCTCATAAAGTAAAGCTTAAAGCCGTCAGGTTATTTCCCGGTAGTTTTAATGAAATGATCACAAGCTAACTTCACGGACCTGTTTTCCACCCTGCTGTGACATAAGAACTACAATCAGCAAAATGGGAGCTCTCCACTTCCTTAGTCCCTAATTTGAACCTTTTACTGCTTGCCTGTGCTTTCAACTCTAAAACTGTCAAACTGTACCCTGGCTTCATGGCAACAATTCCTCCTGCTTCGTGGTACTCTCTCTTTGTTCCTTTGAGCCTCTCTGAACTTGCTTTACCTTTCTGGGAATACACATAATCTTACTCACAATCTACATAAGGGGCTGCCTAAGGTGGAGCACTCTAAAGACTGTCTTTCTTCAAGGAGGGTGCCGCCTGTCTGCTCAGTAGACGTTCCTTACCCCGATGGCAAGGGCTAGCCTCTCAACTACCTACACAAGCCTAATTGTCTCGGCCTCGTAAAACCTACAATCCCTCTTGCCAAACATAAAAAGCTTAAGTAATAGATACAAGACACAAAAAAAGTGAAGTTGAACTCTATCCCACACCATATACAAGAGAGAGAGAGAGAAAAGAAAGAAAGAAAGAAAGAAAGAGAGAGAGAGAGAGAGAGGGAGGGAGGGAGGGAGGGAGGGAGGGAGGGAGGGAGAGAGAGAGAGAGAAAGAAAGAAAGAAAGAAAGAAAGAAAGAAAGAAAGAAAGAAGGAAAGGGAAGAAAAAAGAAAAAGAAAGAAAGGAAAAGAAAAGAAAGGAAAAAGGAAAGGAAAGGAAAAGAAGAGAGAAGAAAAGAAGAAAAGAAAAAAGAAAAAAAAGTAACTCAAACTATATCACAGGACTAAATGCAAGAGTAGGGTTAAGCGATGGTATCTCAGCTATGACAATGACAGCTAACCAAAGATATAACCAAGAAAATGAAGACAAACTCATGCAGCAGGCAGTACCGTGTCAGTTACATCTATTAATAATGAAAAGAGGAGTAGAAAGCTGTCTGCAAAATCTTGGGCTCTGTTACCTCACAGCACCGCACATTATTCTGAATGGACAGGACATTGTTGTATAGCCCAGTGCTAGGGCAAAGCTGTTCATTAACTAATAACACACACAACTGCCCCCACCGCCACATTCCTTTGTGGAGGGTGGAGATTAGAATTATAATGCCAGTCTTATCTGTAGATGCAATTTGGATGTGCTTCCCTGGAAAGCCAATTTCTCCTTCTTTCATAGGATGGGAATAATCCCAATTATAGCCTTTTGCTTACTCAGAAAAACACCTTAGCAGATGAGGAGCAGTTAGCCAACTTGCCCCCTTTTCTCAATTATTCTGATTATCCCTGCTCTTCTTTCATACTCATCCTTCCTTCAGCTCTCAGGGAACATAGAAATGACATGTATTTGTCAGCAGTGGATAGTCAATAGCCTAAAGTAACCTCAACTTCGTGACCCTCCTGCTTTATTTAGCCTTCCCAGTGCTGAGACTGCAGTCATTTGTCACCAAGTCCAAGTTGGAGTAGCATTTATGATAATAGATTTGTATCTAGGATATATATATATAAAGAACTTCTATAATGAGATACTTAAAAGACACTTCAAGTTTAAGATTTAAAATAATCAAAATGAATAGTTCTCCAGAGTAATTACACAAATAACCAATAAACACACTTATTAGTGATCATGAAAATTCAAATCAAAGTATGATGCCACTTCAAATCCACTAAGTGTGTCTAAGATATTTTAGAGACAATGATAAACATTATCTAAGGCATGGAGAAATTGGAATCTTGATGTGCCATTGCTAAGAATGGAAAATGGAAAACAGCTTAGCAGTTCCCCAGAAGGCTAAACAGTTCTTATCACCATTGTGTATACTGGCCTAAGAGTGAAAACCAAAATGTCCTCAGGTTGACAAATGGTTTAAATGTGTAGTCTTACCAATGTATTCACCCATATTAAGTGGTAATATACATGTTACAGAATAAAAGGTAAGAATTATGCCAAGGACAGAAGTCAATCACAAAAGTCAATTGTGTATGTCACAATTCTATCTATGAAGAGTTCAGATCAACCAGATCCAAGCTGGGCATGATGTCTCACATCTATAATCCCCAACACTTGATAGGGTGAGGCAGGAGGATTACAGCAAGTATGAGGTGAGCCTGATCTAACTCACAGACCCCAGTCCATGCAGGAGTACATAGCAAGACCCTGACTCAAACAAACTAACCCATAAGGATAGAAGGAAAAGCAATGTTTGCCAGGGCTTGGGTAGAGGCAAATGGACAACACCTGTTAGTAAGTGTAGGCCTTCTTTGTGAGTTAGCAAAATGGCCTAAAATTAGAGATGGTGATAATCACACAACTTTGTGAGTATACTGAAAAGCACTGATTAGAGCCTGTAAGGGGTAAATTTTATGAAATCTGTTTGACAGTAAGGCTGCCATTTAAAAAATGTTAGGTTTACCAGTTGTCTTAGTTAGGGTTTTATTGCTGTGAAGAGACACCCTGACCAAGGCAATTCATATAAAAGAAAACATCTAATTAAGACTGGCTTACCATTTCAGAGGTTTACTCCATTATCACCACAGCAGGGGGCAAGACTGCGTACAGGCAGGTATGGTGCTGGAGATCTGAATGCAGCCAGGAGGAAGCTCTGATTCCACTCTGGGTGGGCCTTGAGCATAGTAAACCTCAGAGCCAGCCCCCACAGTGACACACTTCCTCCAACAAGGCCACACCTCCTAACAATGCCACTCCCTATGGGCCATGCATCCGAACTCATGGATCTATGGTCAAACCTACTCAAACCACCACACCTGCTAATAAGATTCTGACATGTCCACTTCTTCTGGTGTCAGGATATTATTTCCACAGCAGTTTTACAGAATTATAATACTGAAAAATCTTTTCCAGACTCTGCCACCCTGTCTCCCAGAAGAGTATCCTCTCCTGGGTGAGAATCTCTGGTCAAAATCAATGGTATAAGCCAGGCACAGTGGTACCTGTAATCCAAGTACTCCATGCGCATAGGCAACTGGAAATGTTACTTCAAAAAACTCAAAGGCAGACACAGGGAGATTATTCAGCATCTAAGAGGACTGGATGCTCTTGCACAGGACCGGGATTCCGTTCCCAGCACGCGTGTGGTGGCTCACAACCATCTGCAGTTCCAGTTCTGAGGGATCTGATACCCTCTGACCTCCAAGGGTATATGACGTCTATACGCATATGAGGGTGCACATACAGGCATGCAGAAAAAAAGACACTTAAAATAAAATCATCTTTCAAAAGGACATTATAATCATATAAACTTGAACAACCAATAAATGTAATATCAAGATTAGAATCGGGCATGTCTTATGAAAAGAATTCAGTTACTATTAACTAAATTAAGACAGTTAAAATTATGGTGCAGCAGAAAAAAAAACAACAACACTGAACTGAATTATTATATTCTCTGACATTCAAGACTAAAACTTACGTGGTGTAGACATTCTCGTGATGATGGGGACCATAAGGTCTTCCAGTTGCTGTTTCTGCTCTAAAATCTGACTGATGGAAGCTTCTGGATGGGTTTCCAACCACTCGTTTCTCGTACGGCATGCATTGAGGATGGTGTTCTGGGGATAGACGTAAATGTACTTCCACATGGGTATTGGAAAATGAGAGTGTAGTATCTCTCTAGGATCAGCAGGCAAGCTTAGGCTAAAGGCACTTTCCTCAAACCTGAGGACCCGAGTTAAGTACCAGGAACCCACACCGGGGTAGGAGAGAGCTGATTCACCCAAGCTGTCCTCTGACCTCAGCGCATGTGAGTGCCTCACATGAGCATATGCAAGTGTACACACACAGAGACATACACATGAGCATGCACATACACACATACACATAGGCACACACACATACACACACACACACACACACACACACTAAATAAATATATTATTTTTGCAAACCAAGGTTCTGGTGGTACCCGAGAGAACCTCATCTGAAATAGTAATCCTTACGCATGCATATTTACCTCTTAAGTATTTGAAGTCTGGCTAGTGTAACCGAAGAACTAAATTTTAAATTATATTTAATTTTAGATAACTATATTTGAAACAGCATACGGCTTCTGGTACTGAACCGTCAAATAGTAGCAGAATGAGAAGTCATGAAATTCACCCTTAAGACTCAAGAAGCCTTAAACCAGTCTGTCCTTTCTCCCTGATTCTCTTTTTTTATCCAGCCCTCTTGATGAAAGAAGGATTTGCAAAAGTTGAAAAAGAATGGGTGGAGAGTAAGGCTGGAGACATGGCTCGGCAGTTAAGAGCACTTGCTGCTCTTGCAGAGAACCTGAGTTCAGCTCCTGGTACTCATGTGGCAGGTCACAACCATCTGTACCTTCAGTTCCAGGAGACCCTGTGCCCACGTCTGACCTCGACAGGTGCTGCACACACCTGGTGTGTGTGCATAACATGCTGACAAACTCTCATGCACATAAAACAAAAATGAAGATTTAGAAAAATGACGGATGGTACGAGCTACAGGAAACTTAGTCAAAATGGTATTTACTTCCTCTCACTGGTTGATAGAGGAAGAAGTTCAAAAAATTCCACATTTGATGACACACCGGCAACACGCTCCTGATGTCTGCTTAAAGGCAGTTCTCACAGGTTCCCTGAACGTACAGACACAATGTGTCGGCCGAAAAAGCTTAAAGTAGTAAAGAAAAATGTGTTGATTGTGCTAAGGTTTATAATGATGACTACAAATTAATATCCTGCTGGTGTGTACTTTCCACAGTGCTGAAAAAAACGTACAGAAGTGGGTGAAAGAGGCAGAGTCAAGGAAGTGTCTATAAGATACCCAGAGAGGGGAAAAGCAAGTTAGTAATAATAGTAACCTATATAGCAGGGTCCAACTTTTATAGCAAGAAGATCTCCCTTACAAAACTCTATTATCTGTGTTTATATAAGTAAAAGAGGAATATGAAATCACAAAATCATTATCAGAACTCCAGGGTAATAAGACTGGAAATGAAAAGGACATAAAATTCAGTCTAGGTATTTTGACTTTTTCTAAGTAATGGTGTGTGCACATTACATTTTTATTGAAATGTAAAGGCTTTTCTAGTAACAATTTGACAGGGCACCATTTCTTCATGCTGAGAACGCTGTGAACTGCAGATCCAACAGCCCCAGGACCTGCTCTGATCTACTGTGTTCTGGATTTTCTTTCACAAGAAATTTTGTCAAGTTGTTTATGAAGCTACAAGTCCAGTGTGTACTTTGGTGAGATTTGTTGATGCCCTTTAAGAAGCAGATAACCACATTTCATCAAATAATGCCAGAACAAATTCTCAGGAATACGACACGGCAACACAGAGAGCAATTTAAAGCCATCACACATTTCTAATACTGGAACATACTTAGTTTTTGACACAGGGTCATGTTATGTAGCCCTGGGTGGCCTGGTTCTCAGAATGTAGCCAGACTTGCCTAGAACTAAAGGAAATCCTTCTGCCTCAGCTTCCCAAATGCTGGAATAGGGGCAAATACCATTATGCCCAGCTTAATGGACACAATTTTAATGTATATCCAAATCAAATTTTTTCTCATTGTGGAAGATCTGATACATTTGCATATATGCTAAAGTGTGTTGTGTGTGTCTATACAGTATACACATACATATTGAATTGTATCATGTATGTGTTAAGGTTTGAAGCAAAATATGGAAATGAGTATCAGAGGTGCACAGTACTCCAACAGAAGAACAGAAACCTAACAGCTCCTGAACCCTCCTCACCACTCAGAACCAGCCCCAGGGATACAAGCATGATCCAGGCCTCTCCTTTTGTATTTTTTCTGTTAAAACAGGCTTTTGATGATATGCCTTGGGAGGGTTAGCTTTAGAAAAACTTTTGCGAGCTTTGGTGGGTTTGTTTGTTTGTTTGTTTGTTTGTTTGTTTTTCCAAATTTTCACTCAACAGAACTTTTCTAACATTCATCTATGTGGTCAGCTGTGATATTTTATGTCAACATCATTTACTCTGTATTGTTTCATCTCTTCTCAGAAGCTTACTGTAGAAAGGAGAGAGGGAGGGGGAGGAAGGAGAGGGGAGGAAGGAGAGTAGAGAACCAGCTACCTCTATAAGGTCAGGACAGGCAATGATCACAAAGAGGTACCTTGTCTTCCTTGAGAAGTTTCCCTGGTCCCTTTTCTGGGTCAGTAACAAGGAGAGAGGCCTTGGTAATGCATTTTTTCAGAAGCGACTTTGCATCTGAAAGAACAGGACAGAAAAACACAAAATAAGACAAAAAGAAAGAGCAAGCCATCCTGTTTGAAGAACCCCTTACACAGCCAGAATTTGGTGAGGTTTGTGTAGACAGTTCACTGTCGATGTCTTTGAGGAATTGAGAAAAACAGCCCTCGGGGATACATCACATCAGAACGCTCAGGGTGTTCCTAGAATTAGGATAGGCTCTTTTGAAGAACCAAAGAAATATAAAACATGACATTGGATCCCATGTCTGTCAAAATGTTCACTATAGAGAAAAGAACAACAGAATAAAATATTTCTGGGAGGCAGACTGTCTGTTTTTCTTTGAACACACACACACACACACACACACAAGATCTGCTTAAAAGTATACTTTGCTGAGAAAAATAAAAGCCTGAAATAAATGGAAGGGCTTACTGTATTTTTAGAATAACTGAATGCTGGAAATTTTAGATTAGTCTCAAATTACATTGGACACGATAAAGTAGTTTCCCCCAGTTTATCCCTTGCCTTTCATATGTCACTAGAGACAGCAAGAAAAGGACCAGCTACACTTTAGATCCAACCTCTTCATCTAAACGTCCAAGTTCTCTGAGTCTGCTTTTCACAATGGAGGGGTCCAAGATAGCCCACCTTTCTGCTGTTCCGAACCAAGAGCTCACTCCCTTTGGGGGGTGGTTTTGCTTTGTTTTTCATGGGGTTCCATTATTATGGCTGTACACCTATTGCCAAACACTCCCTGGCAAAATATTAGCAAAGCGCTCATTTTCAAGAAACTTAGGGTGCCTATCTATGTACACCTTTTCACCCCAGTGCATTTTTTTAATGATGTCACTGAACTCACCCCTGAGTCACTATGACTGACGATGTAACAATGATCGTCGCTGTGTGTTTTGCTGGGTGTGATGGGCTGACCAGCAGGATTATCTGAAAGGCCTTGATGGGAGTACCACGTTATCTAGTGCTTGGGGCACCTTCTGCTCTGCCTGACCAATTTTTTTAGTTCAAGATTTTCTTCTCAGTTAAGACAAAAAGATGTCTAACCAAAGACTATTTGTGCTTTCTCCCCTGCTGTTCTTCTGCTTCTTCAGAGAGAGCATCTGCATTTGTGACGGGACAACCTGGACAAAGGTTGGATGGGAGATTTTTCCAGAGGAAGTACACTACCTGAAAGTTAAGGCTCCCCCGTCCCAGTGTCTGCCTTACCCTCTGGACAAACTCTGCTGCAACTTTGCTAACTTGGACATATTCCAGAGTTCCTTACACCTCATTTATATCATAGTACAAGCGCTCTTCTTAATCCTATTTGTTTTATCTGTGCATTACCTATGGATGAAATGGACAAAACACCAGAAAAAGGTGAATTTGTGATGCAAATAGGAGTTATAGAATCTTAAGGAGTGCACGGCACAAGGTTCTCCTGTCCCTCAAGTTACCCACCACAGCCTTCCCTGCCCCACCCCCATCATCTAGCAGCGTAGGCACTATTTTTTAAACTGCTTTAATTTGGGGTTCCTTAAACCTCTACCTCTCTTCCAAACCTCCAACCCGAGGTAGGAGAGAAAGGTTAGAAGGGGAAGGGGATATAGACCTCTTTAGACTTAGTTCTGGCTGGCTCAGGTCATTGGATTTTTTGGAAAAATACCAATCTCAGCCGTCAGGATATCTAGCAGCCCAGCAACAGCAAGACTTACAAGAAGCCTTCCTCCTCTAGCCTTCCTCTCTCTGGGCTCTGGTATTTATACTCTCCCAGGGTCCTCAGAATTCCACTAATTCCAGCTGGCGAAGACCACGCCCCTCTCTGAGCCACATGAGGCAACTAACTATCAGCTGTGGACAAATTAAGACAGCCCCTTGTCCCATACTTGGGATTAAAACAAAAACGTATTTACAGAATATAACTGAGTTTTTAAAGAAACCAAAACTTCCACTACATAGCAGCGTCATGCCCACAGTTAAGAGTTCCACAGATGTGTGTTTAATCAGAGGGTGCCTACAATCATCTCCTCCAACCCCTACTTCAAGTTAAAAGACACACCAAAACATTCAGATGCGGTGGATAGGATTATAGGAAGTGAGGTTACCTGTGTGTCTTAGCTAATTCATGTGGCCTTCCTCAGTCTCCTCATAAAATAATCTGAAACGGGGGTCTCCTGGAGAACCTGTGAATCTATCGAAGAAAGCGCACTACAAAAATTGACATAAGCTTCCCAAGCCTGCTGTAACCTGCTTTTTTACATGTTAGCACCTAGTGGGAAACAAATAGCTTAATTCCCAGTTCTGCCAATAGATGGCGCTATAGTCTGGGCCAATAGCGCACTCTTAAGAGGTACATGACCTAGATAAATGTTTTTCTTGTTTGTTTGTTTGTTTGTTTAATGTGTACTTACTATACGGTGCTATTGCTTAGTAAACGGAAATATTTTTCTTCTATTTATTTGATTTATTTGATTCTGGGACTCAAACCCAGGGCTTCCTACATACTAGGCAAGAAACCAAAAGCTGCAACTCACTGAGCTATATCCCCATCCCCCAACAAGTCTTAAGGGCTCATTTTATGCTACAAGTTCTGATGAGCGTTTTTATTCAAGTCGACCTGCCAGGAACCACACACTTAAAGAAAACTAACTCCCCCTTCCCTGAAGTTGTCAAGTGTCCAAAGATCCTCATTTGGCTGCGTGCTAAAATGGAATTGGCTTGATCTTGTGCAGGCAACGCCAAGCACTGCTAAGTTCACGAGTTCAGAATCCCTGCCCTGGTCGGAAGGCGCTTTTTTCTCTGGTTCTTTCTGACTTCTGGCTCTTTCATACTTTCTGCCCCCTCTTCCATGATGCCTGGGAAAGGGGGTATGATACAGATGTCCCATTTATGTCTGGACACTCCACAGTCATTTAGTCTCTGCATTTTGACCAGTTGTAAGTTTCTGCATGAACCTTCATCCACGGCACAAATAAATTTCTCTGATGGGGTCAAAGAGTTGCACTAATCTAAGTGTAGAGAGATACAAATTTAGAGGGCAGTTCAATATTATGCCCATTTAACAAAATAATATTAGTAGGTTCACCAACGGGACACCTGTGAGCTCCCCAGCCATGGGTTCTTGGCCAGTTCAGCATCACCAGGCATGAGTTTCCTCTTGTGGAACAGGCCTTAAATCCAATCAGAAAGCAGTTGGTTATGCTTGTGATATTCATGCCATTACTACATCCCTGGACACATTTTGCCATCCTAGTCATTACTGCCATTCAGGGTTCACAGCTGGGCAGGACCAGGGCAAGATGTCTAGCACCTTCTAATACTGTGAGAGCCAGCCAGTTGGTCAGGGAGGAATGCATCTGGCCAATACTGGGTCAATTTCTCCATGTCCTGGAGGAAAACATTTTGTTTACATCTTAATTTCTTTTTGGCAAATGCTCTAACCTTAGAAAACACTAACCACTATTTGCTGGTGGTAACAATGATAAGTCTAGTCTTATACATGAAATAAGAGCATCTCTTCTGCACTTAGGCCTTCCACGGTGACCTTCCTTTTTGCAAAATATGGGATGTGTACATCTTAGGGGTGTTTAAGTTCGCTTATCTGGAATATAAGTTTAATTTGAAGTAAGACAAAAAAATCATTTGTTTTGTTCTTCCAGCTGAAAAAGCAGGCCTCTTTAGAGAAACATGGTACTGACCTAAAGAGCCCGTCCATCTATGACATCGAACAAATTCTCTGCAGACTACTGGCCACGACATCAATGATGACCAAGTTCCTGAAGCAGGTGTCCCAACATTCTTCCGCTAAGAAGAATGTTAAGCAACAACGTCAATTAAAGAAGAAGAGGAGGAAAGAAGGGAAGGAGCCAAGGGATACTAAAGCTAAGCACACGCAAATGTAGCTCAGTCAAATGAGAGTAGAAAAGAAACCTATTGTGAGGGTCCCCTATGCATGCAAAGGTTTCTTTGAGGGCTGTTTTTTGTTTTTTGTTTTGTTTTGTTTTGTTTTTCTTCCTGCAATCTTTGCTGAAATTTTTTCAGACAAGCCTGGGTTTCCATTCAACTGAGAAGGAATCCACACTTACTAATGTGGCTCCCAGAATAAAATGAAAACACTTTAACCTGGCCCTCAAGGGTATAATCTGGTGGTAATTATAGCAGCAGCAACAGTTTGGTTTGGTTTTTCCAGCCTGAACACATGACAGGTAGTTGCTATGTGCTTTATACTGTATCATTTAGTTTTCACAACTCTCAAAAGGAAGGAGCTATCATTAGCCCCTCTTTTCAGAAAAGGAAACTCAGGGGCAAAGAATTGAGTACTCTACTCAGTATAGTATTCTATAGTACTCAAACCCAAGTGTTCTCCAGGGAGACCGACCCCTTCCACCTACACTATACATTGCCCATGGAAGCTCCACAAGATAATTTTGTCACTGTCCCCTAACATGTCACTTTCATTCCCAGAACTAATGTTTTGCTTATGCTCTTTGCTCTGATACTGTATACTCAAGTCATATTCATTTTGCAAGGCCCAGCTGAACCCCAACAAACTGGCTTCCTGGCGGACTGCCTTTCCTACCAGCTATTACTTTTAACCTTTCTCTTAATACATCTTTCTGATACTGTTATATAATTGCCAAATGATTGTTTCTCCTAAAACAAAACAAAACAAACAAACAAAAAAATGTCTAGAAGGCAGAAACAAGCAGGTGTGCCTACAGCAATATTAGCATATTTGGTGGTGGACATTCCGTGAAAGCTTGCTAAGCACATGAATCAGATAGCCACACAAAAGCGGTTTGAAATTTATAAGCACACACAGAAAGTTACTCAGTTATGTCTTCCTAAAGTCTCTTCAAGCTATATTCTACAGATCTGGGGAATGAGAGCAAAATGAAACAAAAACTCAAGGTAGCACATAGATTTTTTTAATACTCTGTTGAAATAGAATATGCATAAAAGATGTGAAATTTTTAAGTGTATATTTCAGTGAACTTTCAAAAATAAAATGCCCATGTAACCAGTAGCCAAGTTGAAGGAAAAAATGCCAGGTCTCAGAAGTCCTCCCATGCGACGGGGTAACTACAGTTTGGGTTGCTGACACCATAAGTTAACTTTTCCTAGGAAATATTTTTCATTTTCAATAACAACTTTTCTGCCTGTGTGATCAAATATGTTACTGAAATATGCTAATATGTAAATATTCAAGGACTAGAGTACTTTGCCTGGGTTTTTCAGAAAACAGCCTCGAATATATATTGTGTGTTCAGCGCTATGGAAATCTATTGCTTAAATTGTCAGCAGTTGGCAAGCCAACAAGACGTTCACAGACACACACACACACACACACACACACACAGTCACAGTTCTCTCAGAAAAAAAGTTGATAAGCCAACAAGACATACAGAAACACACATGCACACTCTCAGAGTTGCAATTAAAGAGCAATGCTTTATGGTCATTAGCAAAGTAAAAGAGAAAATAAAAACATTGGAGGCAATCTTCATATAGTGTTAACAACAGAAAAGACAGCACCTAGCTGGAAGGTGGAACTGTCAATCACCTCATTCCATGACTCCAAAGCATGTTACCACCACATGTACTCCTTACCTGCCCAGTCCAAAAACTCTACACACTCAGTCTGGGAATAGCGAGCAGCAACGTCTCGAGCTTTCTCTCCCAGGAAGTTCAAAGCCTCTATATCAACATCCAGTTCCAACAGGGCCTTCAAAGTTTCCAGACGGCCCCAGGCTGCCGCACAGTGTAAGAGCGTGTACCCTGACAAACAGAGTGGGGATGGTCAGGTCAAACAGGCTCAAGATGGCTCCATAGGAGTTTTTAATTTTACAGTGGTAGAAAAGGCATACACATTCTGTAGAAACCGCATGTGAAACTTTGATGCTGGACACAAGAGTGAGCAACAGCTCACAGGCAGCCATTCAGCACAGGGATAAGAGGCTCCCAGGCATGTTCTCTGGTGTACAGTGTTGCTAAGCTCCGATGAATGCTAGCTATGTTACATGCATGTTTCTGCTTCCAGTACTTTATCATGGATCCACTGGCTCATTACTTCATCCTAAGTCAAGGTACATCTGTACATTATTCCAGACTATTTTATGTGGCAGATCATAAACAGAACCAAGTACTGAATGATTACAATGAGCCAGGCACTAAGTGTTCTACATAGTAAACTCACTGAATTTTATAAACTCTGAAGCATCAGAATTATTATAATCCTCATCTTACAGACAAGGAAACTAAAATTCAGAGATGTTAAGAAACATGACTCAAGGATCGTAGCCAATGATGGATGCAAGATACCAACATGGCCTGACTCCTGAGCTCCTCCACATCTGCTAAGAGAGATGGCAACCTCTCTAGCCGTCATCCAGTTCGGAACAACCAGCCTATGACTTTAAGGAATTTTTGTCAACCTCTAATTACCCTCGCCTTACTGTTAACACAATCATCGAAATCACTCTAGCTGTGCATGCTTTGGTTTGGAAATTAATCTTTTGAATTAAAGCTGGAAGCATGACTTACCAAGTTAGAAAATAATTTCTTAGACTTATTGTGATTTAGCTATAAAAGTGGAAACATGGGATGCACTTTCAAGAGTTTTCACGCCAAGTTTTATATAAATCAAAACCCATTGTTCTGTTTCAAGAAAGGCACAGTTAAATCAGGGATCCAGGGCTATGACACAGCTCTGTGGCATAGCTCTTGCCTACTATGTGCAAGATCCTGGGTCCAAGGAAACAATTTAAAAATTATCTAAGATGGGGCTCCAGGACCAAAGCTTCTAGCAGCCCTATTAGACAAGCTTAGAAGTGGGAGCTTCACAGCCAAGGAGCTGTGGCACACCCCTGTAATCCCAGCACTCAGGGAGGCAGAGGCAGGCGGATCTCTGTGAGCCTGAGGCCAGCGTGGTCTACAAAAAGCGAGTCCAGGACAGCCAGAGCTACATGGAGAAACTCTGTCTCGAGGAAAAAAAAAAACAAAAAAGGAGCAGGGGTCTCACAGTGGGCCTTCCACAAGCCCCATGAGCAACCAGAAAGTCCTTCAGACAGGAAACACGTACACCGGTGGGTGACCTGCAGGCTCTCATTTGCCTCCTCTACGGTGTCTACCTGGTCAGCATTTGTCTTAAGAACCCAACCTTGCATTCTTGACACATCCAGGAAAACCTTGTCACTGGGTCGCCTCTGGTTTGTCAGAACTGCAGATTTAAAGCACCAGTACCACCAGAAATGACTTTTACTCACAGATCCTGGCTAAGGGAAAGTAGGAGTCCTTTGTTCACAGGTCACTCAAAACAAAGTGTGGCACCTAGATTATAATTTTGAAATTGTGGCAAATTCCTGAATTAGAAAAAAAAGTGCGAAAATGTATGCACTCGTGCTCATGTACACACACACACACACACACACACACACACACACACACTGCTGGCAGAGACAATACTGCTACATTCTTATCTCTAGCCACAAGCCCGAGCCATTTGGATGTGGTGTAGACCTAGTATCAAGGGTACTGGGTCATGCTTCAGGTATGAGAAATTTCAAGAGATGCTGAGTCGATATAAGCCCTAACAATGCACCACACTTATTCCCGAGAACACACTTATGACTCCGTTAAACACACAAAGAGGCAAAAAGAGCAGAGCAAGAGCCAATGTGTTGAACCTATTATGTGCCAGGATTTTGTGTGTCCTTGATTTAATCACTGCAATAGCCCTATAAGGAAGGTGTTAGCCTCGTTACCATATATAATGGGAAGTGAAGGTATGCCTTTCCCAAGGCCATACTTGTAGCACTAGCCAAAGTAAATTTAAAAACTGGGTATGTTTCTATATAGACTTTATATAGAGAAGAGACACACACCCCACGCTAATCTAGGAAAAAGAAGATATAATAGTGACTCTACTTCATCAGAAACCTCTTGGCTCCCTAGTCACCACAGTGCCTCAACCCTCAGACCAATCTGTAAGCCATCATGACAAGAAGGGATAATAAAATGTTAAGAATCTAAAGTGGCCTGGTCTATATAGTGAATTCCAGGACAGCCAGAGCTACATAGTGAGAACTCGTCTTTGGGAAAAAAAGGGGAAAAAAACTACAAAGTGAGTGAATTACATTTGGCTCGGTCCTACACGAGGACTCTGGAATCCTCAATTTTTTTTTTAACATCCCAATAAGCAAGATATTTAAGAACTCTAGCAGCCGGAAACTGGCTTGAGATTTGTATGGTATCTTTATTCTTGACAATCTTAATCTGTTACCAAAATAGCACTGTCCAGGAAAATAAAAATAGAGTTTATCCCTCAGGGTTCTGTGGTATGAGAAGTCCAAGGTCAATTCATGAGGACCACTAGCGAGTCACATAAAAGTTCTCCAATGTGGTGCTCATCTGTATTCCCAGCACTGGGGAATTATTGTTCACTAACCGAGTAACTTGGCTAGAGTGTTCCTGTCACAAAATATAAGGTGAAGCATGATCAAAGATGAAGCCTGAAATTGACCCACGGCATCTAAATGCACATGTACCCTAGGAATACATGCACACACATACAACACACATGAACACACATAAAAAACAAGTATTTTGAAAGTCTGTAACTAGCATAAAGAAATAATGTTTGAAAAAATAAGCATATCTTACACAACTAAAGTAACACACATATGTCAAACCATCCCATCATCCCATTAATATGAATACTTTTATCCTATATAAGTAAAAATTAAATTTACTTTTTAGGATTTATTTACTTCATGTGCGTGAATGTTTTGCCTGCACATATGTCTGTGCCCCTCATGTGCTCATGCTTGCAGAGGTCAAAACAAGGCAGAAGGTCCTAGAACTGGAGTTACGGGTGGTTGGGAGCTGCCACAGGGGTGCTGAAACTCAAACCCAGGTCCGCTGCAAGAACAGGTGCTCTTAGCCACTGAGCCACTTCTCCAGCCCCTCAAAAATTAATTAAATTAAAAAAAAAAACTTTAAAGTCTCCTAACATGCTATCTAAAATAACTAATTAAGAGAAAAATAAGACATCTCTGGACTTAGGGAGTGTGTCTCAGCAGTAAAGTGTGTGTTTCTTTCTCTTTTTTCTTCTTTTGAGATAGGGTTTCTTCGTATAACCTTAGTTGTCCTGGAACTCACTCTATACACACTCAGAGGTCACCCTGCTTTCTGCTTCCCAGATGCTGAGATTAAGGATGAGCAGCACCACCACCTGGCAAGCATATGTTTTTTAACCTGTGTGAGACCTTAGGCGTAAAGTAAAAATGGACACCTTTATAATATTTAGTATCAGTATCTGAACCATATATATATATGGAGTTTCATGTAATTTAAAAGTCTTTTATATTTATATAATAAATGTCTTGCATTTACTTTTTATAGATTTTATAATTGGCTGCTAATGGCCTATAGAAAGCTATTGATTTAAAATATTGATCTTGCATTGATATTTTGGGGAATAATTAGTGCCAACAGCAAATTTTTGCATTTAAGTCTGTGCGGTCATGAGTAAGAACAGTTTCATTTCTTTTTTTATGCGGGGTGGGACGGTTCAAGACAGGGATTCTCTGTGTAGCCTTGGTTTTCCTGGACTCATTTTGTAGACCAGGCTGGCCTCAAACTCACAGAGATCTGCCTGCCTCTGCCTCCCAGAGTGCTGGGAATACAATGTGCACCCTTATACCCAGCTAAGTTTCATTTCTTATACTCTACTCCTATGTCCAGTAACACGCTGCTAAACAGATTTTTAAAACTCACTGTCTGGAGAGAAAAGCTGGTTACTGTGGCATTATGACTCAGAAGGGCTAATTTTCAACTGCCAATATGATGTCAGCCATTCACAGAATACCTGAAGAGTTGACAATCACTTCTTAGAAAGAAAAGGAGAGAGAGAAAGGAAGGAAGCTGCTTACAATGTACTGTATTAGTCTTGCTTGCTTTACTTTCAAGGATCTCCACTGAAATGTGCAAGGAGTGGCTGGCAACATGGTTCAGCAGATATCGGCCCCTGCTGTACAGTCCTGATGACCTGAGTTAGATCACTGGAGCACATGTAAAGGTGAAAGGAGAGAACCAACTCCACATGTTCTTTTCTGGCCCCAGTAGACACGCTGTGGCAGGTGCTTCGCCCCTCCCACACACAAATAAATTAGTTCCAAAATAAAGTTGACTGAAAGCCCCTATGTAATTTTAAGACCTATAATTTTTATAGACAGCATTTTAAAAGTTGTTTGTTGTTATTGTTTTGTTCTGTTTTTCTGAGACAAGGCTTCTCTATGTAGTCCTGGATGACCTGGACTCACCTTGTAGACCAGCCTGGCCTCAAACTCAGAGAGCAGCCTGCCCCTGCCTCCCAAGTATTAAAAGATTTACTACATTCGTATTTCTTTAGAAATTTATATCATGAATAAGTGTGACATTTCTTTCAAATGAACTTTTTACATTTATTAATACAATCACATTTCGCTTAATTTTTTTTTGAGACAAGTTCTCATGTAGTACAGGCTGGCCTCAACTCCTTAACTAGCCTAGCCAGTGACCTTGGTCCTCTTCTGATCCTCTTGCCCTTTTCTTCCTTTGTACTGGAAGAAGAGGCTTGTAGTGACACACCTGCCTCGTGAGGCGCTGGGGCTGAGACCCAGGGCCTTGGACAAGTTGAAGGTGCGCTCTACCAACAGAGCTACACCCCAAGCCTTGCTTGCTTAATCTTTTGGTGTAGGGAATTACACCAGTTTTTTCCTTTTCTAGTGTTATAACCAACCTCTCATTCATGGCATAGACACAACTGACTGATAAGTTTGGGCTTGATGAAAATGGATTTAATGGTTTTCATTTAAAAATTTAAAATTTCTGAAATAGTTATGTAAAGTATAAAGCAAGCACATCAAAGCTATCCTAAAGACAGTGAGGGGCATCTTTAGTTGGTCCCAAGTAAAAGATGAAATACCTCTGGCAGATTTTTCATTCAGATTCACGCCATACTTTGCCAAGGCCCTGATTACATCACTTTTGCCAGCCATGCAAGCTGCATACAGCAGGTTTCTTCCAACAACGTCTTCTTCCAAAAGCAACTGCAGAGCATTCTCATGGTGAGGATGTTCAGGATCTTCGAAAATTTCCTGCAGAGTTTCTACATCCCCTGTGAGAGTAGGCTTCAAGAGGGGGTTCACTCTCTCTGTTTCATCATCTTCTTGGGATTCTTCAGACTCTTGCTGTGAGGAAGATAGTGACTTCTCTGAATACTCTGATTCTGGAGTTTCTTCTGGCTCCATGAACTCTAAAACTACCTAGTACCAGAGCAAAAGACAAAACAAAATAAAACAAAACAGTAGTTCAAACATGTCAGTATGTGTTTATTTATCGAGACAGGGTCTCACTATGTCGTTCTGGCTGGCCTGAACTTGCTATATAAGCAAGCTGGCTTTGAACTTATCAAGATCTGCCTACTTCTGCCTCTGAACTCACTGGGATCCACCTACCTCTGCTTCTTAAGTGCTGAGGTGCTACCATGCAGGGCTACTTATTTATCTTCAGTCAGCCCACTGACAATATAAGATTAAAAAAAATAGGCAGGGAGAGTAATGAGGGTCGGTATCAGACCTGAAGAGAGCAAAAAGCAGGAGGACAGAGGGCTTGCAGAGAGAAGAGAAAGCTTGGGAGGGGCCATCTCTGGGCCAGACTGGAGACCTACGACAGGATAGGCTCCTGGGAGGATATGAGGGTGACTCTAGCTGAGACTCTCCAAGTAGCAGGAGTCATGGAGACTGAAGAGCCACCCTCTAACTAGACACAACTCCTACTGAGGGGAACTTCGATCCAAAATTTACCCGGGGGCTGAGGGGATGGAAGCCAGCCAGCCCCTGACGCTATTAGCGATACCCTGCTTTGCTTGCAGATGGGAGCCTAGCGTAGCTCTCCTCTGAGTGGCTCCACACATAAGCTGGTATAAACAGATGCAGAGACTCACAGCCAAACATTGGGTGGAGTGCAGGGAGTCATGTGGAAATGTGATGGGAAGGACAGAAGGATTCAGAGGGGACAGGAGCTTTCACAAGAAGACCAACAGAGCCAACTAACCAGGGCCCTGGAGTCCTGTGAAAACTGAAGCACCAACCAAGGACTATGCATACACTGGACCTAGGTCCCCTACACAGATGTAGCTGCTGGACAGCTTGATTCTCATATGGGTTCCCTAGTAAGGAAAGCAGAGGCAAACTCTGACATGGACTTTGTTGCCTGCTTCTCGATCACTTTCCCCTGGTGGGGGTACCTCACCAAGCCACAGAGGAAGAGGATACACAGTCCTAATGTGACTTGATATGCTGGTGTGGGTGGGAAGGGTAGAGCTCCCCTTCTCTGAGGAGTAGGGAAAGGGGATGGGGGAACAGAGAGGTAGGGAGGGACTGGGAAGAAAGGAGGAAGGGGGCTACGACGAGGATGTAAAGTGAATAAATAAATAAAATGTTTAAAATGAAAAAATAAATTAAGAGCTGGAGAGATGGCTCAGAGGTTATGAGCACTGGCTGATCTTCCAAAGGTCTTGAGTTCAATTCCCAGCAAACATATGGTGGTTCATAACCATCTGTAATAAGATCTGGTGCCCTCTTCTGGCATGTCAGCACACATGCAGGCAGAATACTGTATAAATGATAAATAATCTTTCACATCTTTAATTAATTAAAAAATAAATTAAACACTTGAAAATAGAGCCAAGCGCACATGGTACACACTTGTAATCTCAGCACTCAGGGAGGCAGAGGCAGGCAGATCTCTGTGAGTTCGAAGCCAACCTGGTCTATAAGGCGAGTCCAGAACAGCCAAGGCTACACAGAGAAACCTGTCTCAAAAAGCAAACAAACAAAAAGAAATGAAAATAATTATAGTCATCAGAAAAGCTACTTTAGCCATTCAATCAATAAAATCTACGATGAGTAAACACATGGCCTCACTATATGATAAAATACTAAATATATAATATAAGTAGTATATTCAAATAGGAACCGATGAGAGATCAAATTGAACTAAAATTCATTAGGAAAGAATCAAAAGAAAATTATTAAAGAAGTTTATCTGCCTAAACATTATTCTTGTTGGGGAGAATTAAGAAATTAGATCACTGGAGCTAAGTTATGAAGACTTTAAGAAAAAAAAAGTCTTTTAAACAGAATCCATTCAAATAGAATTTATTCACTTACTATTATTTATTGAAATCTTATTAATGTTATTTAAATGATTATATAAGGGCCGGAGAGCTGTCTCAAGGTTAAGAACACTCACTGTTCTTTCAGGGGTCCTGAGTTCAATTCCCAGCAACCACATGGTGGCTCATAACCATCTATAGTAAGATCTGGTGTGCAGGCAGAATGTTGTATAAATAATAAATCTTTTTTAAAAAAAGAAAAAATTCTTATATAAATTACAAATACATATTTTTTTGGTTTGGTTTGGTTTTGAGATCAGTCTTGATAGGTAACTCTGGCTGCCCTGAAACTTGCTGTGTAGACCAGACTGGCCTTGAATTTGCAGTGATCCTCTGGTCTCCACATGTCTAGTGCTGGGATTACAGGTATGAGCTACTACACCCAGCTTAAAACTCACAAGTTTATCTTCTGCCCTCAACAATGTAATACATAGGAGAAAATAATAGATTTTAAACAAGATATATGTAACAAAAGTGATATATGGTAAGTACCATAACGTACGAAATTCTATGAAACTTTAGAAAGAACAAAATTAATTACAGTCAATTAAGGACGTCTTTAAAGTTCTCACTCTGGCGACAGTGGGCAAAAAGAGAGGCCCTCAACCACGAGGAGGTTTTAATCCTGTCAGAAACATTTAATGTGCTTGAAAACAATCTTCGGTGAACTCCGGCCTGCAGCCTCCTGAGAGACACTGAAGTAAAGGATCCAGTTAAGCTGCACCCAGACAGCAGTGCTGGGAAACCAGGTGATTTCAGTATAATTGACCCAACAAGCCTAGATAAGAGTTTGACAGATCAGAGAGGAGAGGCAGAAAGAAGGGCCAGTACTTCAAAAGTTCAAACTGATGAGAGCAAGGGCTCTAATTATTCACTTATCTAAGGCAGTACCTCCCAGAACAAGGTTCCCTCCAATCATGTTACTTAATAGATAGGGGGAAGAGACAAAGAAAACAAATGAGGCTATTTTAGGTCTGGATGTGGTAATAAACATGATGAAGAAACAACAGGGAAGGATAGAGGGGGAAAAAACTTAAAATAGGAGGGATAAGAAGATACTGACACAGTACTGCAGAGGATGAGAGAAGGCCTCAGGAAAATAAACATTCCAAACAGCACATTTTTAGACTTATGGAGCCTTGCTGTTTGTGTGTCACATGATTACTCTCTGTGTAGCACGGGAGCAATCACCGGCGTCACACCAATTAATGGGTATGGCTGTGGCTAAAATATTTACAAAATGGATAGCTCAATAGCAGCCCACAGGACATAGCTTTCCTATCCTATTCTTTTTTTTTAATAATTTATTTAATTTTATTTTATGTGCATTGGTTTGAGGGTGTCAGACCACCTTGAACTGGAGTTGCAGACAGTTATGAACTGCCATGTGAGTGCTGGGAGTTGAACCTGGGTCCTTAGGAAGGGCGGATAGTGCTCTTAACCACTGAGCCATCTCTCCAGCCCCCTCCTATCCTATTCTTAAGGACACAAAACAAATTAATGTTCTCTATGCCCCATACATAATAACATAAGCTTCGCAGACAGTAACGAGTACAGAAAAGGGAGAGTATCGTGGGCGTAGGAAGGCGGAATGTCCCTGATTTAATCCTCCTTATTTAATAGAGTGTTCTGAAATGAGGATATAACGTGCTCTGAGTTTCTTAACGGTCATGAGACATCCAGAAACTTCCCGCCTACACATCAGAAACATCTTGAGGCTGCAAAGTACCAAAAATAGAAAATAACACTGGTCTGGTTGCCAACCCACAATCTAATCAGCGACCGCAGAGATGAAGGAAAAAAAGGGCGATAGGCTGAACTCATTCTGACTATGAGGAAGATGGGCTGCAACCGCACGTTGGAAGCAGAATTCCCAGAGGGTGATAGTAACAGGGTGGAAGGAGGATTAAGGGTGATGAGATCCGAATCCTATAAACAAAGAACTAGGAGACAGATGAAGCCTCCCGAAGTTTTAGCGAAGTCGACCCCAATGCCTCTTGTAGCCAACTGAATTCTTTCTTCCAAAATAATAATGATAACGATAAGAATGTTTCTTAAGGATTTTTAAGTCCCAGGTCCCCGAGGGGTCGGATCCTCACCCCGTCAGGTCAGCCCTAAGCACCCAGGATTCAAAGAAGAATGAAGGCCTGAGGACCCACACAAGGAGTGCCAGCCTTGCGGTGCTAACTAGGTCACGTGGAGCACGGTGGTTCCCGGGGGGGGGGGGGGGGGGGGGGGGCTTGTGAGTTCGCCGGAATCGCCCGGGGCCTTCTGCATTGCCCTTTGGCTGCGGCGGGATGCACGAAGCCCACGGGACACACAGAGGCTGAGGATTCCTGGGAAGGCGCCTACCGCGGCAGCCCCTGCCCTAGCAGCCCGGAGGGATGATACGGGTCTATCCTGCCCCGTCGACCCCCGTCGCCCACCCAGGATCTCAGCTCCGGGACTCTTACCTCTTCCAGGGCCCAGGCTTCCGCAGTTACCATGGCGACGGCGCACTTCGCGCAGCCGCGCCTCACCCAGAGCACAGCTTCTGGCTGGGCGGGAAGGTCAGGGATGCCAAGGCACAGGACTCTAGAGGGGAGAAGTGTGGAAGAATCCTTCCAAGTTACGAAAACCTGTGTTCCGACGGTGGTGTGAAGGTGTTTTATTTTGTCTAAATTTAATAGATCTGTATTTAACTGCTTTTATTAAAATAATAAAAAGGGTGTGTACGCTCGCTCCTGGCTAGTTTGATCTCTTTTGCCTTTAAATAGTTTTTTGGTTTTTTGGTTTTTTGTTTTTTTGTTTTTTTTTTTTCTAAAAACGTGAAGATAAATTCTATTTTTTAAAACGCAACTGAACACCTTGCTTAATTTTCTACCTATTTGGGGAATTTATACAAAGTCAGTCTCACCTAAACTCCTGACAACTCGCAAATGCCAAAAAGGAGGAGCAGAAGGAACTTGGAAGTTACATGTATAGATTCTTTTTTTTTTTTTTAATTCAGAAATTTACAATCCAAAAAAGTCTTAAGGGTGGGGAGGACCGGGAGAAAATTGGAGAGAAACGAGCAGAAAAGTGCCACCTTACTCGTTAAGCAATATACGTATTCACGTGGTTTGGCAGAAGAAAAAAACAAAAAACAAGAAGTTTTTGTTCTGAAGTCCTGTGAAGGGAGACATCATTTGTTGCTACAATGACGTCGTTAAAGAGGACGTAATAGTCCAGAAGGGCTCAGCATTTGCGCTGAAGCTGAACACCTGTTTAAAAAAAAGAAATCAGTGTTTCGCTCTCTCTCTTTCTCTCTCTCTCTCTTTCTCTCTCGCTCTCTCTCTGCTCTCCCTTCTCTCTTTGCCTCGGTTTCTCTCCTAGGAGCCCCCCACCATGTCTCCCTTACCCTCCTTCCCTCTCTCTCTTTACCTCCATCCAATAAACTCTTTCCTGGCAGAAAAAAAAAAAAATCCGTGTTGGAGAGCTGGAGAAACGGCTTAGCAGTTAAGAACATGTATCCTTGCCGTTCGTTTCCAACACCCAACCCACCTCAGGCAGCTTGCAGGGGGCTGACGCTCCTCTGACATGCTTAGGAAATACACATATACACATGCAGGCACATAAAAATAAATAATGAAAAATTCAAAGTAAGTAAATAAAAGGCGTGAGAGTCAATGAATTTAATCATGTCTTTAAAAATAAAAATAAATGTTTTCAGGGCATTGTAGCACAGAACTTTAATCCCAGCACTTGGGAAGCAGAGGCAGACACAGATCTTTGTGAGTTTGAGGCCAGTTGGGGCTATGTCTCAAAAAGGGAGGTCTGTTTTGAGACAGTGATGGCCTGTCTCAAAAGCAACATAAAAACCAAAGAATGCATGACGTAAGGCCCAGGCAACATACCAACCACTATCGAGCTGAAGTTCTGTAATGTAAAAAGAAAAATCTTAATTATTTTTGTTTTGTTTCTCAAAACAGGGCCTCTCTGTATATTCCTGGCTGTCCAGGAACTCACTCTGTAGACCAGGCTGGCCCCGAACTCACAGAGATCCACCTGCTTCTGCCTCTGCCTCTCAAGTGCTGAGATTAAAGGTTTGTACCACCACCATCTGGCTGAAATCTTAATTTTTAGATGTTAAGATTCTTTAATTTAACCAAGTTGTAGTGGTCAGAATTTTAGAATTTGACATGATAGGCAGGGACACAAGCCAGAAGCTCTACGAGCTACAAGCTTACTCCTGTAGTCACATCTAACAGATTTGTTCTACTGAAGTCCCTTTCCATTACTGAAGTTGGTGGTGAGAAGCCAGATATAGCTTAGGTATTAACACATCATTTTGATATGTTCTTCCTTTACGGTAGTCTTTTTTTAAGGGAGGTCTGTTTGTTTTTAATATCTGGATAGAAGATGACATCACACATCATTGTATGTAATTTTATTTTAATTAATTTTAGAGGCTGCAAAGGATTTGCAAATATAGATATTTCTTAAAGGCTTTCAGTGGAATTAAGTATAAGTCAGTGTTTGATTTGTTGCTGTTTGCTTCATTCTGACTTTTTACACATTTATTGGAGCAGGGGGCACCCTCCTGCCACAGCATGTGAAGGTCACAGGCCAGCTTGCAGAACAGGTTCTCTCTTTCCACCATTCTGGTGCAAAAGGTCAAACTCAGGTCATCGGGCACTGCCACAAGTGCCTTTTGACCTGCTCACTCATGTTGCCAGCTCTGGTTTTGGGTTTCTGAAACAGGCTCTTGCTATGTATTACAAACTGTGTCTAGAACTCAGTCTGAAACCTAGGCTGGAATCAAAAAGGCAGTAATCTTGCTTTGATCTACTGGGATTAGAGATGTACAGTTGGCTCTAAATAGATTGGTTTTTTTTTTTTTTTAAGATTTATTGTTAACTATGTGTATTTGTGTGTCTGAGAAGGGGTCTGTGTGTGTGAGCGCAGGTGCCACCGGAGGAAGAAAAGGGTGTCAGAGCCCCTGGAGTTGGAGTTAGGGGCAGGTGAAAGTAACCTGACACAGGAGCTAGGGCACAACTCAGTTCTTCTGCAGGAGAAGCACATGCTGAGCAGTCTCTCCAGCCCCAGTTTCTCAAAGGTGGTTTTTGATGCTCTGAATGCTGGCACTCTACAGGAGACCAGAAACTAAATAGATTTGAGAAACACCAAGCAATTGAATCCCGTTCTCTGGTCAGATCGTGTCACCAACAACTGTGTGGAGCATTAAGGCAGATAGAGTCAAAATGGATTATGAAGGAGCTTCCTGGCTCATGTATGGCCCAGGTACAGCAGACTCGCTTCCATTGTCATAGCTTGCATGTAGTAATACTCCAAAAGCTCAAATGCTAAAGACTTGGTCTAGGGCTTTAGAGACTGCTTGTTCGGGCTCTGACTCTCAGTGGACTCACAAGCTAATGGCATTATGGAGATGATGGGCAATAGGAAGTGGAACATAAATAAAAGAAGTAGGTCACTTGTGGGGTGGGAGGAGACTCTGGGAGGGTTTGTTTTGTTCATGGCCCCTTCCTGTCTATCTCTCTGCTTCTTGACTGCCATTAGGTGCAGAACCACACTGCTATGAGAACCTGCCTTGCTCAGGACCAGATAAGTAGAACAAGACAGCATAGAAACCTTGAAAACCAGGGGCCAAAATAATCTTTTCCCCTTAAGTTGCTGCTCTCGGGTATTTTGTCATAGTGATGAAAAGTCTGAATAAGACATTCACAATTCCCTGCACCCTCTAGCCACATTCTCCCAAGCTTGACATGAGAAGGTTACCCTGGAAGGAGCCACTGGCTCTGAAGGGGACAAATACACATGTACAAAAGACATCTCAGCAAGAAACTATGACTGGTAATGGTGGGGGCTCAGCTCAGACACTGAAAGCCTGCAGAGCAGACACTATAAGTGTCAATCACACCTCCAGACACTGTATCAGCTCCAAAATTATGGTGGAAAAGGGTTTCCTAACTGACTGAAATTGATTTTTATTCACCCTGGAGAGGATGTCCTTCAAACATCAATTACCTTGTTGTAGAAAATGTTATATTTCTATAGTTTAAATCTAGGAATCATGTCTTTGGGTTTTGTTTTGGTTTTGTTTTGTTTTGTTTTTGAGTCAGGGTTTCTCTGTATAGACTTTGCTGTTCTGGACACACTTTGTAGGCCAGGCTGGCCTCAAACTCAGAGACCCGATTGCCTCTGCCTCCCTAAGCACTGGGATTAAAGGCATGCGCCACCATGTCTGGTGGAGTCATGTCTTTGTGCAGTGTTGGTTCCTGATGAACTAGTTCAGGAAGGATACTCCCATTGTAACAATATATTAATTAATAAAAGTGCTTTATAATACCTTACCCATTAGACCACGGCAAATTCTTCACAGGAATCTCATCATTACTGGTAGTGTGTGTGTGTGTGTGGTGCATGCATTCATCCATGTTCAAATGGAGGCCAGAGCTCAGTATGAAATGTTTTGATGTTTTCCTCCATTGCACTCCACTCCTAACCTCACCCACACACTCCCCTCCCCCCGCCCGCCTTTTTTTTAACTCAAGGATATTTCATTAGAGTTTAAGAGAGAAAACAACAGGACAGGAAAGCTGCTGAGAAGAAAATGAAGAGAAGGAAGAAAGTCATGCTTTTTTTGAATTAGGGTTCAAGAAAGCCAATAAACTCAAGGACAGGGTGATGCCTCAGCAGTTAAGAAAACTGACTTCAGAAGACCTGGGTTCAATTCCCAGTGCCCACATGGCAGCTCAAAACCATCTGCAACTCCAGTTCCAGGTAATCTGATATCCTCTTTTGGCTTCACAGGCACTGCACACACACAGTACACAGACATATATGCAGGCAAAATACATACACACATAAAATAAAATTTAAATTTTAGAAAAAGTCAAAAGTTGGAAAATTCAGCAGTGGAAGTTAGCAAACCAGTTGGCAACCTATTGCACAGTGGTAGAAGAGGAGCTACAGAGAAAGAGTATGAGGACCCAGAGGGGTAGGAAAAGGCATGCTTAGAATTTATAAAAGAAGATAGAAGGAAAATAAAAAGTTGTGCTTTGGGGGTAAGAACTCAGAAAAGCAAGCAGCTTGCCAGTACTTCATGACAAAAGCTCTGTAAGAGGCTGCCATGACTTTGTCTGTTTGTTGAGACAGTGTCTCTCACTGAACCTAGAGATCGCTGACTGGCTAGCAAGCTTCCAGAAGTCTTCTTTCTCTGTTTTCCTGAGACTATAGGTACACACCACCATGTCTGGTTTTCTATGTAGGTGGTAGAGATTGAAAAGAGGTCCTTACAATGAACAAGCACTTTTCTCAATGGGCCGTTTCCCCAGCTCTCACCACTGGCATTTCAAATACTGAAGAATGGCTTGGGTCACATGGTACCTCAACGAAGCCTGAAAATAAAATCTTTAAGCCTTCAAAGCCACTGTATGAGTCGAAGCAGCTTCCTAGATGAAAAAAGCATGCCAGGTATTGTGGAAGTCTGAAATTTGTCCTGTCCTATAAAAAAAGGATCCCCTTTTTGAGCATATCTCAACATGCTCCAGATAGGACAGCCAAGCCCTAAAATT